AGACTGAATAAGATTTTTGCTCTCCACGAAATACAGAGAGTTGCTGAATTAGGCTGTCCGCAACTCACAAACATTTGCTTAGTGACCATTCAGAGTCACAACAGCCCTGGGAAAAGGGACATTGGTCCAGCCCTCACCCTTCTGATTGTTCCAGCTTTCCCACAGTCATGTGATCAAAATGTGGGCGCTTGGCAACCTTACAACACTGCAGCCTGCCGGGCTTTCGACAGCCAAAGGCAACGGGGGGGAGGGGGAAAGCAGGATTCACCTAACGGCTACATGATTCACTCAGCAGTGATTCACTTAACAATCACGGCAAAAAAAGGTTGTAAAATTGACTGTGACTCACTTAAGAACCCTCTTGTTTAGGAATGGAAATTGTGGTCGTAATTCGAGGACCTCCTGCATTTGGTTTTATTTACAAAACTCCTGAGTTCTTCCTTCCCTTAACACTGCTGGGCAGCTTCTAAAATTGCTATCAATGCAAACTGAATGATTAAAAAAAAATCACTAAAACGAGGGGGAAAAGGCAAAACACGATCGCGGTGTAGATAACAAGAAAATCCAACACGAAGTTCAGGTCCAATTGGAAATCATTTTGAGGCTATGATTTGATCCATGGATTTGTGCCATACTCCAAATTTAGATTTTCTACATACATGAAGTCAATATCTCACGTTTTACAGTTAATTAGATTTTCAGTGCTGATTTAATCCATTATTGTTCATAATTTCAGTTAGCGATTTATACAGTGATCGTCAGGTGTCTTTAGTTTAAAGCTTTATAGGAGGTTTCAGGGTTTTGGTTTAACATCTGCCACTTTACACCCACTGCTTTCGCTTAATTACCAGTGCAAAAAAAAAAAAGGCATAACATTGGGTTGGACACATGACTCTCGTGACCATGATGGATAGCCACCATTACGTCGCAAGTCCAGGGCTACCTAGTTTTATTCCATCTCACATCTTATTTCAGAATCTCTTTTTTAAATTAAAAAAAAAAGATGTGGGGCTGCTTTTCCCCAAAGCAGCCACTAGATGTCAGACGTGCCCTGCAAATGACATCTCTCTCTCTCTCTCTCTCTCTCTCTCTCTCTCTCTCTCTCTCTCTCTCTCAAAATCCACTTTCCCATGCAGAAGTAATATTTAGATAAATCGCAAAGCTCTGGGCTGATTTCAGTCCTTTCGTTAGCCTGAATGCTTGGCTAATCTGTCTTTTATTTTTTATTTTTTAAAAAAAATGCAAATAGGACAACTGATGAGTCGGAGGCTTTGCGTTCCATTAAACGTTAGCACATTTATGAGATGTCGTTCCATAAAAGACGCCGTTTCCTTCCCTTGGAGAGATGCCCCAGTTTGTCCTACCTACTTGGCACTTCTTATTCTTCCCATCAGTCTCCAAAATACCAACCCCGTCTGGGGAGGAGGCCAGGAACCGCCCCCAGTTCTTAAAATGTCTCCATCAGCTCAGAAAGGAATTGGCTTCTGATTTTAATAAGTCAAATTATTTTCAGACCAGCCTTGACTCTGAAGGATTACAGAATAAGTGAATAACAAGAGTTGGAAGGGACCTTGGAGGTCATCTAGTCCAACCCCCTGCTCAGGCAGGAAACCCTATACCATTTCAGACAAATGGCTGTCCAGTCTCTTCTTAAAAACTTCCAGTGTTGGAGCATTCACAGCTTCTGGAGGCAGGTTGTTCCATTGGTTAATTGTTCTGACTGTCAGGAAGTTTCTCCTTAGTTCTAAGTTGCTTCTCTCCTTGATTAGTTTCTATCCATTTTTTCTTGTCCTGCCCTCAAGTGCTTTGGAGAATAGCTTGACTCCCTCTTCTTTGTGGCAGCCCCTGAGATCAGGGGTGTCAAACTGCCAGCCAGCGGGACAGGTTGCATCAAATGGAGACCCAGCTCTGGCAATGCAAAAAACATCACAATACATCGCAACACGTCTCGTGATGCAGCGAGTTTGACACCTATGCTTTAGATATTGGGAGACTGCTATCATGTCACCCCTCGTCCTTCTCTTCATTAAACTGGACCAGGGGTAGGCAACCTTGGCTCTTTTATGACTCGTGGACTTCTGCTCCCAGAATTCCTGAGCCAGCATGGCTCAGCTTGGAAACCTTCTCTCTTTCCCCTCAGCATGGCTCGCTCAGGAATTCTGGGAGTTGAAGTCCACGAGTCACAAAAGAGCCAAGGTTGCCTACCCCTGAACTGGACATACCCAATTCCAGCAACCATTCCTTATATGTTTTATCCTCCAGTCCCCTGGTCCTCTTTGTTGCTCTTCTCTGTACTCTTTCTAGAACAGACATGTCAAACTCGCAACATCACATGACGTCGTGCAACGTATTGGAGCTTTTTCCCCATTGCCGGCAATGGGGTGGACGCACCCGGCCCACTGGCCGGCAGTTTGACACCCCTGTTCTAGAGTCTCAATATATCTTTTATATCTTTTTTATATCACGGCAACTAACATTGGATGCAGTATTCCAAGGGTGGCCTTTCCAAAATTCTGGTAGCCTCTGTAATCTGGCTGGCACGCTTTAATAGAATTTGGATTTCTCCATCTGTTTTGTGCACAGATGTCCAGAAATGCCCTCTGTACATGAAAAAGATGGGTGATGTCCCTTCCACCAAACTACAAATTCACCAGTAGGAATGTTCCATGCAGTCTCGGCTTCCAACATTGAGATTTCAACCAATACAGGTAGTCCTTGACGTATAATTCATTTAGTGACGTTCAAAGTTACGACAGCACTGAAAAAGTGACTTATTAGTCACTGAGTGTTTCACACTTACGACTGTTGTAGCATCCCCGGAGTCACGTGATCAAAATTCAGACACTTGGCAACTGACTCGTATTTGGGGTGTCCTGGGGTCACGTGATTCCCTTTTGCGACCATCTGACAAGCAAAGTCAAGGGGGGAAGGCAGTTTCACTTAACAAACGGGTTACTGACTTAAGAACTGCAGTGATTCACTTAACAGCCGTGGCAACAAAGCTCGTAAAAATGGGGCAAAACCTCACTTAACAACTCTCAGTTAGCAATGGAAATGTTGCGGTCGTACATCGAGAACTGCCTGAAATCATGGCAGGCAAACCTTTGCTTTGTCTCCACTGAATCCTATTCAAACTGTTCTGTCTTTCAACTGGTTTTCCCCTCCATACACACACACACACACACACACACAAACACAATTTTTCCTTCCTGGATCAATGGCTTTAATGATGCCAAGCAATCAGGGATCCCTATAAATCTGATGGCCCCGCCCATCACGGGAGGCTTTAAAGATAATAAATAACAAAGAAGGGCAAATTGAGGGCATCAACAGTAAAGACTCCCTCTAAAAGAGTTTCACTCCTGATTTGCCTACAGATAGTCCTTGACTTATGACCTCAATAGGGACCAGAATTTCCATTGCCAAGCAAGGCGGTCCTTAAGTGAGCCACGCCCACTTTATATAACCTTTTGCACCAAGGAAAGGCAGCTGGCTGAGCCCAGCGATGTCTGATCAGGAGAAGAAATCCCTGGGAATTAGAGACCCCCAACGGGCACCAGGTCGGAGAAGGTGGTCCTTTGTACAAGGCGCAGGGGTAGCGTTGGAGCCGAGAAAATACTGAGTACCTGAAGTTGAGGGTCTTAAGGACTCAGTCGATACGACTGAGTCCTTAAGACCCTCAACTTCAGGTACTCAGTATTTTCTCGGCTCCAACGGATGGGGAGTGGGTCGGAGACGAATTGAGAGGGAGGGAGGGGGGGTGAGGGTGGGGGAAAGGTCTTCCTAGAATTTTTGGCCGATTTGTTCCGCCAAGAAGGCGGCTTCCATCTCAAGGAAGAAACATCCGTTCCAACGGAAGAGTCTGTTTTTGCCCAGTGTCTGAGCCAGGCTGCAAAAAAAAATCAAATGTTTTTTTGTTTTGTTTTTTTAAGTGCCTCTCTTTTCCTGAGATGAATCTGGGAAAGTAAAGCTTTCGACACAGACCTCCAGATTTACAAGGGCTTGTAAAACAGCCACGCCTGAAAACAGTTCTCCAATTCAAAATAATCCTTGAAGTGACCCCTGAAGTGACCAAAGCCATCAGATTGAAGCATCTTTCTCTCTCCCAGCCCAGGAAGGATGATGGGTCGTCCTCAAAATCTCAAGCAGGGCCCCTCCCCCCCAGCCCCCCAAACAGCAAAGGTTTGGCAATTAACGGCACTTCTTTTCCACCGGCAATCCCAGGAACTCAGCAGAAGATGGTCTCCAAGATCTCAGTACATGTAGCCCACAACTTACAACAGTTCATTTAGTGACTGAAGTTACAATGCCCCTGAAAAAAGGGATTCACGACCGTCTTTCATTGCAGCATCCTCAAGGTCACAGGATCAACATTCGGATGCTTGGCAACTGGTTCGTTATTTATGACGGTTGCAGCATCCCGTGTCACGTGATCCCTTTTTACGACCTTCTGACAAGCAAAGTCAATGGGGAAGTCAGATTCACTTAACAACTGGGTTGGGATTTCACTTAACAACTGTGGCAGGAAAGGCCATAAAATGGGGCAAAATTTACTTAACAACTGTCTCACTTCACAACAGATATTTTGAGCTCATTTATCATCGTAAGTTAAGGACTACTTGTAGCTCGAAGCTTCAACCATCTTCATCTCTCCTTCCAGATCTCCAATTCCACACACACACAAACACACACACACACACACACACACATACCTCCAGGGGTTGTGTGGTTCTTCTGGAGATGTTGTTCCTCACCTTGAAACTGTTCTTGGGCCCTGAGGCCTTGGATCAGCCCTTGGATCAGCCTGGATCCAATTTCCTGCTTTCCTTTTTGGCAAAGGCCATCCAACTAGGACAGACATGTCAAACTCGCGATGTCACGTGACGTCGCGCAACGTATCGGGCCGATTTTGCCATTGCTGGCAATGGGGTGGGCGCGGCTTCAGTATGATGAAACTGGCCCGCGGGCCGGCAGTTTGACACCCCTGAACTAGGAGCACCATGACAGCCCTCGCCTACTTCCGGTTGGGGTTGATGGATACACCTTGTGGGAGGGGCCGGGCCATGCAGATTCAGAACAGGTGAATGGATTTCCTTGAGCAGGGTTTCCCAACTTTGGTCACCTTAAGATGACTTCAACTCTGCTGGCTGGGGAATTCTGGGAGTTGAAGTCCACATGCCTTAAAGTGGCCAAGGTTGGGAAACCCTGATCTTGAGGGTCTCTGGGATTACAGCACCCAGGTTGCCCCCTCTCAGCGCAAGGAAGTCCAGCATTTAGCCCATCCTTCCTGGAGTCTGATGCTGTTGGCCACACCCGACCTACTTCAAGGCACCACCTGTTGGATGGCTGCATCCAGATAATTCAAGTTTAGTTAATAAGCCCGATCCCTTCCCCAATTCTCTTTGCAAAATCTGCAGTCTTTCTGTCACAAGAGAGGGCGGGAGTAATCCCCCAACCAGGCCCCTCCCCAACCCCAACTGACAGGCCAGGCTGGGCAGGGTTAGACAGGAATCTTGCTCTTGCCAAGTCATTCCTGCTTGGCAAGAGGCCAGAATCTGCTCCCGGAGGGCTGCTACTGCAGGTGTGAAAATGCCCAGTCAGAGAGAATGGAATGGAATGGGATGGGATGGGATGGGATGGGATGGGTTGGGATGGGATGGGATGGAATGGAATGGAATGGAATGGAATGGAATGGAATAGAATAGAATAGAATAGAATAGAATAGAATAGAATAGAATACAATGGAATGGAATGGAATGGAATGGAATGGGATGGGATGGGATAGAACAGAACGGGACGGAACGGGACGGAACGGGACGGAAGAGAAGAGAAGAGAAGAGAAGAGAAGAGAAGAGAAGAGAAGAGAAGGGAAGGGAAGGGAAGGGAAGGGAAGGGAGGGGAATGGGACGGGACGGGACGGGACGGAACGGAAGAGAAGAGAAGAGAAGAGAAGAGAAGGGAAGGGAATGGGATGGGATGGGATAGAATGGAACGGAATGGAATGGAATGGAATGGAATGGGATGGGGTGGGATGGGATGGGATAGAATGGAACGGAATGGAATGGAATGGAATGGGATGGGATAGAACGGAACGGGACGGGACGGGACGGGACAGGACAGGATGGAATGGAACGGAAGAGAAGAGAAGAGAAGGGAAGGGAAGGGAAGGGAAGGGAAGTGAATGGGACGGGACAGGACGGGACGGGACGGGACGGGACGGGACGGAACGGAAGAGAAGAGAAGAGAAGAGAAGAGAAGAGAAGAGAAGAGAAGGGAAGGGGATGGGATGGGATGGGATAGAATGGAACGGAATGGAATGGAATGGAATGGGATGGGGTAGGATGGGATGGGATAGAATGGAACGGAATGGAATGGAATGGAATGGGATGGGATAGAACGGAACGGGACGGGACGGGACGGGACAGGACAGGACGGAACGGAACGGAACGGAAGAGAAGAGAAGAGAAGAGAAGAGAAGAGAAGAGAAGAGAAGAGAAGAGAAGAGAAGAGAAGAGAAGGGAAGGGAAGGGGACGGGACGGGACGGAAGAGAAGAGAAGGGAAGGGAAGGGGATGGGATGGGATGGGATGGGATAGAATGGAACGGAATGGAATGGAATGGAATGGAACGGGACAGGATGGAACGGAATGGAACGGAACGGAACAGAACGGAACAGAACAGAACAGAACGGAACGGAACAGAACAGAACACAACAAAACAGAACAGAATAGAATAGGTTTACTGTCACTTTAAATGAGCATACAGTAAGATGAAATTTTAATTTACATTAAAATTATTTTACATTAAAATGAAATGGCGTTTCCTCCCCCTCCCCCAAGAAAAATGGTCTCTCCTGGTGACACGAAGTCCCTGACCCTCAACTGCCCCCAAAACGCCTTGAGAAGGAGCCCTGCGGGCATCTTACAGACACCCCCTCCCCGACTCGCATCAGCTCGCAAACCTCCAAGCTGCCATTGCAGAGCTACCCGAGACCCCCGCGCACACACACACTCTGCCTTTGCGCACGCGCAGAACCCCCACCCTCACCCCCACCCTCGGGCTGCTGCAGGCTCTCCGCCTGGGTACCGCAGAGGCGGGGAGGGTCGTCCGAAGGGGCGGGGCCTGTTGGGAAGCCCGCCCCTTCGCAGAGGCACCTCGTGCAGCCGCCCCAGCCTGCGCCAGACGGGGAGAGCGGTTCTGGCGCCCGGACGTGGCTCGGGCCGCAGGTAACGGGGCGCGCGGCTGCGGGGCGGGGAGCGGATCCTCGGGGTGCAGCAGGCAGGCAGCTTCGGCTTCTCCGCTCCTCTTTCTCCGGCTGGGAATCAGCAGAGGCGGCGGCGCAATGAAGGGACGGGGGCGCAGACGGAGGCGTCTCTGGCTAGCAAGGGCGCAGTCCAGCCCATCCCGGGCAGGCACCCCCAACCCGGCGCCCCCCAGGAGTGGCCGGAGGGGATGGAGAGACTCCGGCCTCCATCATCCCCAGGCGACCAACGTCCGCTCTTACGGACGAGGAGAGGGGCAGCCACCCCCAAACGGGGGGCGTCCGGGAAGCCAGCCGGGGCGAAGGATGATGCTGGAGAAGGGGCGAGGAGAGGTGCAAAGAGCCGAGCAGGGCGGAGGAGGCTGGCCCGGCTCTTTTCTCACACACCCCCAGGGGCTTTCGCAGCCTCCCTTTCCCCCCCCCCCCTTAGATCCCTCCGTCGGGAGGGTCCCCTTCAGTCCCAGCCCGCCAGGCTGGAATGGGAAAGCGTCGGAAAGCGAGCCGGGCCAGGAGGCGGGCAGGAGCTGTCCAGGGTGATGGAGCTGCAGGAGGCGAGCGACCCTGCAGACGGCGGGCGCTCAGGCGGGGAAGGGGGCTGCCAGAGCCCCTCCGGGGGGGGGAGGAAAGCGGCGGGGCCAGGTGGGGCGAGGGGCTGCAGGGCGGATCCCGACCGGGCCCGGCGGCGTAGAGGCGGCTTTGCGCAAAGCAGACAATTGCCGCAGCGCCAGCGCGCAGGGCTGCCGGTCTCTTGCTGGCCTTGGCGGGCCCGGGCTGTGCAAAAAGCGCGCACGTGCTCGGCCCGGGAGTGCCGCAGGACCCGCCGCGTTGCGCTGCGCCGACGGGGCTTCTTTGACCGAGGGAGCAGGCGGGCTGCAGTGTCCCCTTTACGGCCGGCCTAGATGGGCGCGAGACGGGGGGGGGGGGCGGGAAGGAGGAACTCCGCATGGGGGACCCTCCGACCCACCTCTGTGGGAGACGAGGAGGAGAAGGGCGACCTTGGATCCGCAGGACAAGCTCTCTCGCCCAAGGCCGTCCTTCCCGCCGCCCGCTCCCCCGATAGGGCGGGCGTGGGAGGGGCGCACCCTGTGCCCCCTTCCCCACCCCAGCCAGACCCCTGGATCGCAGCCTCTGCTGCTCCTGAGAAAGACCAGCCCCGGAATTGGGAGGCAGCTGCACCGCATCAGACCCTCGGCTTTTTCACTGCCCGTTAACCACAAATTACAGGAGAATTTAAGGAGTTTTCCTCTGGAAAGAATTTCTAGACAAGCCCTTAGTCTTCCCTAAATAGCTAAATTTACTAAGATCTGCAGTCTGTTTCCAGCCTTCTCCTTCTCTGCAGTCTCCCTTTTGCCTCCCTTTTTCTCCCTGCCAATTGGGTAATTGCCCATTCAGGCTAGCGAAGGAGCTGACGGGCATCCTCTCCCAGCTCCCCAATTCCTAGAATTCGTTGCTGGGTCTGATCTGTTTTTTGTTTTTTTTAACTGCAGGAGATCATAAAATTCTTCTGCGACTTCAGAATCTGGCTTGTGAGTCATCTTTCTTTTCTCTCCCACGGGTGGGTGGCTGGCTGGCACGATGCCCGGCGCTGACAAAAACCTGCAGAAAGGAGAATTTTAGAAGCCCGAGATAAGAGGACGGGAATCCTTTGCTAGCAAAGAGCCTCTTCTGGTGGGTGATGCCATCCAGTCATGGCCGAGAAGCTGCTTTGACCATTTATTTTTTAAAAAAATCTGCTTTTGGCAAGGTGGCATTGCCAGCTTTGCTAGTCCCTTGGCACCTCTGTCTCCTTAACTATCTGCTGCTTCTGTTCCTAGATTTCGCTCCACAGACGCTGCCGTGTGCCAGGCGCCCCCACCCCACAACTCACCCACCCAGGAAGATGCTGAGATCAACCATCAGCCTCGCTCTGCTTTTGGCAGGTAAAAGGAGACACTGCCAGGTGCCGCCACCTGGTGGCCCCAGGAGGCAACTGTCTGGACTAAGCGCATCCATTTCCCGAAAATGACCTTTTCTAGCCACCGTCACTCACTTCCATCTCTGTTTTGAGAACCTGGTCCTCGACTTACGACGGCAATTGGGCCAGACATTTCTGTTGTTAAGCGAGATAGATTTTAAGTGAGTTTTGCCCTCATTTTACCACCTTTCTTGCCCCAGTTAAGTGAATCGCTGCAGCTGTTAATGTTAGCAACCTGGTCATTAAGTGAATCTGGCTTCCCCATTGACTTTGCTCGTGATTGCCTGACACACACCCCTGGGATACGGCAACCGTCATAAGTACGAGTCGGTTGCCAAGCATCCAAATTTTGATTGCGTGACCGTGGGGAACACTGCAGCGGTCGTAAACGTGGGAAATGGCCCTAAGCCACTTTTTTCCAGTGCCGCGGTGACTTCAAACAGTCACAAAGTGTAAATCAGGGACTACCCATATGGAGCTTCAGTGGGGATTGTGTTGAAGACACCGCTTTGTTCACACTTTCCATCCACCCTGAAAGTAGAAAGAAAATACGCCGAGCGCTTCCTTCCTTTTTGACAAAAATCTCTCCCCTGCGTGGAATAAAGATTTAGTGAAGGAAAGTTTGTCTGTTCAATTCTGGGGCAGCAGCTTTTTCTCAACACCTTTAGGGAAAAAGAAAAACAGCAACATCTCCTCCTACTCATCCCCCCATAATTACGCTTCGCTACCTGTCATTTTTACCACGATGTGTTTATGACAGTGTTCCTCAACCTGGGCAATATGAGAGGCCTGGACTTCAACTCCCAGAATTCCCCAGCCAGCATGCGCTGGCTGGGGAATTCTGGGAGTTGAAGTCCAGGCCTATTCAAGTTGCCAAGGTTGAGAAACGCTACAGAGCCTCTTTCTCTGTATTGTCTAATATTCCCCTTTTTTACTTGTGTATTCTTAATTTTTTTTTTGAGCCTTTCATGCTCTACGTCTGGATTCTGCTAGGAATTGAGCCTGATGTAGAGCTGACCTTAAAAACAAAAAACCAAACCTCTGGATTTTCTATTTGCATAGAAAGTAAGATTGTTGGGATATCTCCCTCCAGTCAGTGAAGGGGTTCTGATCTGCACATGATTTGGCTCTCTGGAGAAGAGAAAGATGTGTTATGCCCTCTTTTTAGGGGATATGAGTATGTGTGAATGTGTACAGATGTTCCTTTCCCCTCTGAGAGTAATAAGGAAACCACTCTTCATTTGTTAAAGTCTTCAATTTGTCATTGGGATGAGTAGGTAATTATTTTTAATGGAAGCTGGGGATTTGTTTTAACACATGGCCTCATTTAATTGCCTCTGATTTCTTTGGACCAATTCTTAAAAGAGGTTTTAACACTTAGGTACTTTGGGGTCCTTGGTGTTCTCTGAGCTTGATTGTTTTCTTACAGTTGTGTCATGACCCAACTAGGTAACATCTTCATTGCTGATGGTGTTACCTAGTTGGGTCATGAAATGTCTGCAAGAAAACAAGCAGACTCAGAGAGCACCAAGGACCCCACAGTCCTCCTCCTCCTCCTCTCTGCATGCCCCACTTCCTTCCAGTACTGATGATGTTACCTAGTTGGGTCATGACACATCTGCAAGAAAACAATCAAGCTCAGAGAGCACCAAGGACCCCATAGTCCTCCTCCCCTCCTCCTCCTCCTCCTCCTCCTCCTCCTCCTCTCTACACATCCCACTTCATTCCAGTACTGATGGCATTACCTAGTTGGGTCATGAAACGTCTACAAGAAAACAAGCAGACTCAGAGAGCACCAAGGACCCCACAGTTCAACCCTGAGCTACAAATATTCTTTTCTGTTGCTATTTCAATACTAGCCAGATGTTGGATGATACTTGGGTTAAAGTTGTTTTGACCCTTGAATCTAGTTAAAGGGTTAAATCCAATGGTTGGATTCAATACTGCAGTCACCCTATCACTCACTCAATCCAAGGTGATGACATTATCTCTGACTAGATTAATGAAGAGAAGGACTAGGGATAACATGATAGCAAGTGTTCTAATATCTAAGGGGCTGCCACAAAGAAAAACCTATTCTCCAGAGCACCTGAGGGCAGGACAAGAAGCAATGGATGGAAACTAATGAAGTTGAGAACCAACTTAGAACTAAGGATAAATTTCCTGACAGTTAGAACTACAATTAGTCAGTGGAACAACTTGCTTCCAGAAATTATGGATGCTCCAACACTGGAAGTTTTGAAGAAGAGACTGGACAACCATTTGTCTGAGATGGTATCGGTATAGGGTTTCCTGCCTGAGTAGGGGGTTGGACTAGAAGTCCTCCAAGATCCCTTCCAACTCTGTTTTTCTGTTATTCCCTTCCTTAGTGCTCCAAGTCAGCCATGGCCAACGGATCAAAAGACTAACGGCTTGTTTGAGCGATCAAACCCTGCGGATAGACTGTGCCTATGAACGGAAAACTACCAATCCTCTATCCTATGAATTCCGCCTGTCCAAGGGCACCGGTGATGGAATAGTGGTGGCCGGCAACTCCAATGTAGCCAGCGCTCCCTACAAGCTTCGGACCAACATCATTACCAGCAACGACCTTGTGTGCCTGTACCTCAATGGCTTCACAACCAGCGATGAGGGAGTCTACACCTGCAAGTTGAAGATCACCAATGATTATGAAGACATGCAGTCCAAGAACATCTCTGTGGTCAAAGGTGAGCAGATGTCGGGGGGATGTAAAAAAAACCAGGTCCACCGGCTGAAGGTCCAACGAAACTGGTTTATTGCTAAACAGCCTGTGCACAGGAGTCTTCTCAACTAAGGGGAAGCACATGCTTGGAGTTTGATAAGAATGAATTGAGGGAGGTTGGACCTTGTTCCCTTGTGCCTACGTAGAGATTCTAGGCTGATCCCTCTTTTGACTCCACTCTCAAGTTCTGCCACTGCTTCTCTTAGAGAAGAGGGAAGAGAACCCCAAGCATGTAGGGCCAGGATAGGCTCTATCCTTCTAGAGGGCAGAAGGTGGATGGAAGTTACAGGAAGGTTGAGTCGGATAGTAGGAGAAACATCTGGCAGAAAGAGTGGACGCTGGGATAGGTGACCTAGGAGGAAAAGGATTCTTCTCGGTTGGGTAATCTAGGTAGAAAGACCAGACAATTGCCAAGGAAAAAAACCACAATCCCACCAATATGGACGGGGCAATCTACTGTATATAAACAGGGAGCAAACCCCACACTTGTTGCACTAATAATGTTACCTGTAGGTAGTCCTTGTCTTACTATCATAATTGAGCCAGGAATTAAGTTCTGCCGGTCATTAAGAAGATCTTCACGTGGCTGAACTGACTTTTTTGACATTTTTTGCAGCCATCCTAAACCACTTAGTACAGCGGTTCTCAACCTATGGGTCGCGACCCCATTTGGGGTCGATCGACCATTTCATGGGGGTCGCCAAGCAAGGCTGTCCGCCATTTTTTTCCCCTTTTCCGGCGGGTGCCTTACCTCCCTTGGGCTGGGCCAGCTGGTGGTCGGCCTGCTCCGTCTCTGCCGCTTGCCAGCTACGCCTCGGCCGGTGCAGGGGGCGGAACCACGCATGCGTGGCGCTCCCGGGCAGGGAAAGTCCTCGACTTACGACCGGTTGGGTAGTCCTCGACTTACGACCGGTTTAGTCCTCGACTTATGACCGGTTGGGGGTCGCGGCATTAAAAAAGTTGAGAACCACTGACTTAGTAGAATGGCTTTCCTCAGACGTTGTGGGTGCTCCATCATGGGAGGTTTTCAAGAAGAGAGTGGAGGCCCTTTGTCTGGAATGGTGTGGGGTCTCCTGCTTGAGCAGGGGGTTGGACTACAGGACCTCCAAGGTCCCTTCCAACTCTGTGACTCTGTTCTGTTCTTTCCCCTTACAGCCCAGTTGGCGAGATGCGCCGGGATCAGCGTCTTCATCCAGAACACCTCCTGGCTCCTCCTGCTCCTCCTGTCGCTCCCATTGCTGCAAGCTGTGGATTTTGTGTCGCTTTGAAGGGAGAAGAAAACCAGCGAGGGGGGAGAGGGGCACCGGGAGGTTGGGGGGGGAAGGAAGGGAGGAAGGAAGGAAGGAAGGAAGGAAGGAAGGAAGGAAGGAAGGAAGGAAGGAAGGAAGGAAGGACAGCCTGTCACACAAGTCTAAACCCATCCAGGGAACATGGGCCTCTTCCTGTAGGTTTTGGAAAAAGGAGGCCGGTGTGGACCATGGATTTGAGCTGAAAGGCAGAACGGTTTTCTCTTAATCTTCTCTTTCTCTCTCTCTCTCTCTCTCTTTAACCATATAGCTGCTGGGAGTGACTGATTTGCGCTTAGACCCAAACTCATCATGCCGTAATGTGCAAGCAATGCATTGCAGGGGTGGGGAAATGGGAGCATGACCACATAGTCCATCCCCTTGCCTTGCTTTCCTTCCCTCCCTCCCTCCCTCTGCTTTCGCCATCCCGCTTCCTCACTCGACCCTCTTCAATCCCCCCTCCCAAAAGCAGAGTGGGGACCATGGGGGGGTGTTGTTGCCTTTTCCACTTTCCTCTTCTGGGTTCCTTTTCTCTCTGGTCTTCCAAGAACTGCCGGGTAGGAGACACAAAAGAAAAACTCAGACTGCTAGGAGGTTTGGGATACTATAGCTTCCATTTCTTCTTTTCATTTTGGGCAAAAGGACCCCCGGGGCAGGGAGAGGATGGGAAGAGGGTTCCATTTATGGGGCCCAAGGGGTTTCTTGGGGGGTGGGCTGCAGAGCTGAACCATAGCAGGAGTTGGAGAACTTTGTCTCGGGCTGCGTCAAAGAAGGAACCAAGGATCGCTCCTTTTCTTAAATTATATCTTAAATGCACGCTACGTTTTCCAAACAGAGGTTAAAATTGTGCTGCTGAGCTTGGCAGTAAACAGTGCAACCCAGTTTTGGGTGGCTACGCAGGGCCCACCTGGATGGCAGAAGCCTCCTATTGGCCAGGATGTGGTCAAAGAGGTAGCTACCGGATTACAAAAGAGAAAAAATAATTGATCCTTGTTTTTTTGAAAAGAATACTCCGGTTCGATCGTCTTAGTTTGCCTGGCTCAATCTGGCCTTTTGGGAAGAGCTGTTTATGGCTGGAAGGAAAGTCTGTGCATCTTTGGACAACCATTTGTCAAATGTTACAGGGTTTCCTGCTTGAGCAGGGGGTTGGACTAGAAGACCTCTAAGGTCCCTTCCAACTCTGTTACTCCGTTATTCTTTTCATGTGACCAAAACGATCACATGGCTTGCAGAGGACATAAAAGGGGTCACCTCTCCCCCACTCGCAAGAAAATCAGTGCCTTCTCAGATTTATTTCTGTTTGTTTATTTGATTTTCTACAGCCAGATGCTGGCAAGGCAGGAACTGGTAGCTAATGACTGTCTGACAAAGCATAATTTCCGTTGTTTTCCTTTGGCTTGCATTTCTGGTCCCCAAGGTGGAGGGGGCTGAAGAGATTGGCTGCTCTCCAAGAATTTGCGAGAGGATTGTGTGAGTCAAGGTCAACCAACAGCTCCTGGTGCATTCTTAGACACCCGACCCTTTGTGTCCCACAATTATAACAAAGATAGTGATTTTGTTAGCTCCAGTAAGGTAACCCAGCATGTTTTTATTCATCACATTTATATGGCCACCCATCTCACGAAAAGCAGGTAAACATGCTCAAATGCAGCAAGAATGCCACATTACCAGGAAGTTTGGGGCCCTAAATTACAAGTTTAATGCCAGAAAAACAAGACTCAATTACACATCATATGCACCACAGGAGACCTATCTTAGTCTATGGTACGAAGAAACGTAAGGTTAACTTCTGAATAAGAATGTATATCAGAGGGATGAAAAATTGGGCTTAAAAAGTCAAAACTAATTGTGATCAAATCAAAGCATAGGGAAGTATAACCTGATCTGTTTCTTTGCATGTGGAAGAATAACATATATATATATATATATATATATGTTTCTCTGTGGATTAAAGCCATTTTTAGTTGTGAGGATCTGGAAAGGTGGAATGCAGAAGGCTTGCAAGCAATGAGTGATGCGAGGTTAAAATGTTCTCCAGAAATTAAGAGCTGGGCTTGCAAATTGGGGCTCTTCCCTTCAGTAACACCCATTCTGTCTTTATTTGCATTATCTTACATGATGCTGGGTGTAGCAACTTTTCTGCATTTTTTTTTTCTCCTTCCTTCAAACTGGTGGAGCCGGAAGCATTATTAGAGGATAAGATTTCTGAAGGTTCGTGAAAAAGCACCAATTGCCTTCAAGCAGCGGAGGGTTACATTCAGGTGCGGGGAGGGGGAGAACCAAAACGATCAGATAATTGAAGTTGGGGGTTGTATACTGTTAAAACAGGAAATGACTGGCACAAATTTTAGCAACCAGTCTGCTGATAAAAATGGAGGTTTAATATTTAAAATTTTGAAATACCTTCCTTTGCAGGCTTCCCAGAACTAAGTATCAGATTGTTAAGGCCAAACTTTTATACAGCAAAGATAACTTTTTAAAAAAGTTTGCGGAACTTGGGGTCCCTTGCAATTGAAGATAAAAATAATTTGCTTTAAGCCAATGTATGTTACTGATTTTTTTTCAAAGAAAAAGAGAAAGAAAGAAAGAAAGAAAAAAGAAAGAAAGAAAGAAAGAAAGGGAAAGGAGGGAGGGAGGGAGGGAGGAAGGAAGGAAGGAAGGAAGGAAGGAAGGAAGGAAGGAAGGAAGGAAGGAAAAACCTATTCTTACCAGGCAGGGTAAACAAAGCAAGATACAAAATTAAATCAGATGGAAATATTCATCGCAAGTTTTATTCCCAGCCACAGAAGGACTCCTGATTGCTTGGTGAGGTTAAAATTGCAGGCAGAGCTTAAGCGAATGGATGGAGGGTGCCCAGGTGGGCATCAGATCAAAGAGGCCAAAATGGATGCTCTGTAGGATATTTTGATTTGATCTGTAAAGCTGCCCAACTCACACCAGTGACTCCGGCTGTTTTTGGATTGCCCTGCCTCTTTCTCCAGCCCTTCCCCTCCCGGCTTTTGCTTTTCCATCCAAGCCAACCGCTTTTGCTTCCTTCCATCTTCAGGATTTTATTGCTCGAGTATTGCTAATCCCTGGTTTCCTCTCTCGCTCTTGATTTTCCTGCAAATTCAGCAGTTCACAAATTAGACTGCCCATTCCTCCTGCTTCACCCTAGTCTCCTTCCGTGAACATTTGTAGAGTGTTTTCCACAGCTTCTTGTCAAAGACAACCAAGGGGCGAAAAAGCCCCCCAATCCGCACAAATAAATCCTTAGATTGTAGAATTCCTTTGCTTGTGTCTTTTTTTCTTTTCTTTGAGGGATGATTTATTTGGCAGGCTGTTGCTGACTGCAGCTAATTAAAGAAAGGAGCTTCTTAACCGGTTTAAGAATTTGTTTACACTATTCTCTAGCGAAATGTTGCTTGGAGTATCACAGGTTTGCTACCAATAAAACAGTGGGTGTTGGGCTTCTGTCTAAAGACAGCTCATCAAAGGAAAAGTAGAGGGGAAGGGAGAAGGAAAAGAGCAACTTCAAGTGTAGTTCTTAATTACAATATAATTTGCAGCAAATTGGGGGGGGGGAATTCAACATTGTTGATGTCTTGGTAGAGTACAGCCTTCGTGCCCATTTGCAAATATTTCATGTGTTGGCTTCTGCCATCACACACAGCTAGTGCAGTGCCCATACAAGGAGTAAAAACAGGGTCACCATCACCCAACAAGCAAGCCTAAAATCACAATAACAGTCCCAGATCCACAGCACCAAGGAAAGGAACCTCTGTGGCCTTCCTGCTGCGGCTCTGAGCTTGGCTGTCTTCTTTCAGACATTTCGCGACCCAGCTAGGTAATATCATCAGGACTTCTGCACTTTCCAACATGCCGGGTTTTATTTTTAAATAGAGGCCCAAAGAAGAGAAGCGGCTTTTTCTTTTTTTGGAAAAACTTTCAGAACTCCGATTCTGACCGTCATTCCGTGGGGAGGTTCCACCTGACGACCCCAGCCTCACCCACATCGGGACCCTGCCACAATCCGGGGTCAGAGGGGCAGCTGCGGCCGTCCCACCGTCCCTCCAGCCAGCCAGGCAGTATCAGCAGGCCGGGCTCCAAACTAGCCCCCCAACTTGTTTTTCCAGCAGCAGCCCCCCCCCAAGGTCCCCGCTGGACCCCGCTCAGCCGGCAGCGCCCAGGAGCTGCGCTAGACCCCCTTCCCCACCACCGGCTCCTTTCGGCTGGGGCTGCCGACCAAGATGGAAAGGGTGGAGGGGGGGGTCTGACCCGGACCGGGGTCTCCCAGATCGATAGTGGACGGTGCACCACCAGGTGATCCTCCCGACGAGCCCTCTGGGCGCGTGCAGAGCGCGGCTGGCTTTCCCGAGGGCTCCGCTCCGGCTTTGTCGGCCGCCCGCGGACCACCGGCGCTGCGTCACCCGCGGCCGGATTGTGACATCAGGCGGCGGCGGCGGACTAGGGGCTCCATGGAGCCGGCCGGGTTCGGCTCGTCCCCCCCGGAGACGGCCAGGTGAGTGCGGGGCGCGTCCCTTCCCCGCCCCGGAGCCGGGCAGCTGCCGGGCGCTCTGCTTCGCCCCGGGCAGGGGCGCCCCGGGCCGCGGAGGTCCGCAGGGAGGAGGCTGAGTGCGGCTCGGAGGTGCCCGGGGGGGGGGAGGACCCGGAGGCTGGTGGTGCCTCGGCTTCGCCCCCTCCCTAAACCGTCGCGCCTCCCCCGCCCCGCCCTGGAGCGGCGTGGGAGCCCCGCGCGCATCGCCCCGGGTGGGTTCGGTCTCGCCAAGCAAGGAGGACGCGGAGGGGCCGGGCCGGGCCGGGCCGGGGGGGGGGGAGAAGCCCAAAAGGGTGAGAGTGGGCGATCTGGCCCGCAGCCAAAGCCCATCTGGGGGTGGGGGTGATGGGAGTTGTAGTCCTGGCATTGCTGGCTGGGAAACCTGGTGCGGAGGGGGGCAGAGAGGGGGACTGGCAATGATGATGGTTGTGGTGTGTATGTGTGG